AATTATTACTTGATGTGTGAACTCAACCTCACCGTCTGCCACTCTTGTTGTCCCTCTCCTGTCTCGAGATTTTCGTAAAAACGATATTTGCTCCGGTCTTCTTTTCAAAACTGTCACGAAAAGGAAGCACATTTCGTTTCTGGTGAGAGGCGAAGGCAATTAGAACTTGCCCGAATAACTGCTTTAATAGCTAATCACTCGCAAGGCGGCACGATCAGAGCTTCTTTTGGCTGGGGGATGATAATTAAGCCTCTCGTATTCACTAATCGGGCCTCCTGATCCTTTGAATCATGACGCGTAATCTATTACACAGTCTGCCTGCGAGTGCTACCGCGAACTCTAGACGCTACCAAAAGTGTCTGGAGCTGTTATCACAAGAACGAGTACTTAGCAGCCAATTTTTCACAGGTAATCATAATACACGATACTCTTTCAGCACATAATATCAAGTATACCAAGACTGCCTGGACTATCAATGTGAGTATCCCATGCTAATGATACTGTGATGCTTCCACACACGGAAGTGTCCATGCCAGGCTCCCTGGCCCTAATTTACACACCTTCATCTGGCAACCATTCCTTGTTCAAAGCATATGTCCCAGCTGATCGGGGGCGTCCGAGTAGCCTGTCCTGCCTTACTATTTATTATCTGGGTGATTATACGGTCGCAAGAACTATATTTATTTTTATTGCAGGATACAGAGCACAGTTTGTGCTATGTAACGAGGGCACTAGATTCGCAGAATCAACGTCGTGCCTCAGGCCATTTCGATCACTGGGAAAATCGTTTCGGATACTTAGAATCTAATAATCCAACAAATTTTCATGGACAAAATGTTCCCAACAGTAGGAGCGTTGTGAATCGTCGGATACAACCGCTCTCGAATGAACAGGCACCGATTCACACCGAATTCCGATCTGTTTACCAGCAAACGGAGAATCCTAACTACTGTGCAGCTGCGCTCAAAGGATTCTCAGCAGAACATGCTCAAGTATTTCCTAACGCACACGCGGTCCACTTTGGAAGTGGGCAACAAGACAGTGGTCACTCGCAAAATCCTCCAGTACGGGGACTACTACCGTCGAAGAATACCGAATCCGACGCTCTCACGCAGCCAGCTCATTCAATTCGGGAATCACAAGAAAACCCATGGCTAGAACAGACAGCGTTTTACCCCCAACTTCAAGAAAATCTTCAGCCATTACTACAGGCATCAAGAAAACCAGTGTCTGCTGATTGGAGAACGAAAGGCCGTGATACCACCGGTGCTACCAGTTGCGACTACTTGACATATAGCAGTCGAGAACCCGTGCAAACAAACACCGGTTATGCCAATAATCAGTTCAATCCCAACCCGATTATTAATACTGGTAATGCCAATAGTCAATTCAGTCGTTATCACGATAATAGAGACAGCAATCAGGACAGGGATCACGTAAGTGTTTGCTACTCCTGTAATACAACTGCAAGCTTGCAGTTGAAATCCATATTATCGCCCTACAAATAAGTCAAATGACCGCAGTGAAAGGTTCTAATGCATCTCGCAGGCAGTGAGCTAACAGGAGATTATTGCAAAAACACATAACCACGGTCGCCGTTCATTTCTCTTTCCTAATATTTTTATGTTAGCCAAGTAATACATTTTTATTAAGCTATACCGACTCTGCAGGACCAATGTAATAACTTTTTGTATCGTTTGAAAGCAGAAGCGAGGATGAATCAAAGAGAAATGCAACCAGCGAATTGGAACCCCTGGGACTCCGCTGCAGAAATTCAAAAACCAACGAATTTTCCGGGGCAGCCCTTAACATTGCCGGCACAATTTGTCCTCATACTTCACTAAGAAGTTTTCGTCCTTCTGGTAATCGCAATTTTCGCGGCCCTTCTCCATGCCATCCATCACAGTCACTACTTCTTTCTTTTCGTCTCTTCTGGAAGCACGAAAGGGCCCCTCCTTCTGCTCAGTAAGGATAGAGAAACGTATTTTTACTTGCTGGTTTCCTGGCTGGGCTATCTATTCAGGACCAGAAAGCATGGCATTATTCACCAGTTCAGCAGTTGAATTCTCGTGGCTGTATTTCGCCGGAATGGACACCAGAAACAGCTCGATATCTGGATAGTCTGCTATCAGTGAACTGGGAAGGAACAGATAATAGTTCAAGTTCCGGTCAAGTGCTGGAGTTGTCGGTACAGCCTTTAGCTTCAAAGGTGCCCTTTGCTCTAAACAACTAGTCATTTTAAGAACTAGTAAATTCTACCCGCGTCCTTTCATTAAATGCTATCCAGCATATGCGCTGCATGGGAGGTACCGGATGGGGCAGGGAAAGTCCTCAACGGTTTACACGGTTTTTGAAAAGACAATTTCCCAACTCGCATACACTGTTTAAGCCCTCACACATGGTTTCTTGATTTGTGAGGCATCTCATCTTGATATGGGAGTATGAGCGTTTGACATAAAGTAGTGATGTTCTACAACACACCAAGGACGAAAGCTCGAAATGACCGAACCTCATCGATTGTTTTCGATGAGAGAATTGTTCAGATGGCGCTGCCTTCAGAAAACGAAGCAGATGCTAATTTGACCGCTAGGCGATGCAGTTTTTTCAGAGTAGTCGAGCAAATTGTCAACTGCATGTGTGGGATGACCAGCTACAAATCGTAGCTGATTAAAACATCAGCATAAAGGATGT